TGCTGGATCTGTGAAACCTTCCAGAACTCAGCATTAGGGCAGGGTATGTGGCTGTAACTTAATGTGTACAACTTTCCATATCTTGAATAACTTTTCTCCTAAGTTGAGATTCTTGGCAACAACACAGAAAAAAACATATAGCCATCCTTGGACACTGGAGTTATAACAAGAGTTACTGAACAAGGGGAAGGGAGTCATCTCCAATGCCCCCTGGCCTTTCCCTGGTCGTGGGTCTCCCTTGGCAGCTTACTGCTAATAGCAAGTAGTCAGGTCATGATTAGGGGACCAAGGGCTGCAGACAGGGGTGAGTGGGAGAGGGAAGCAGAGATACAGCTGCTCACACAGATCCCAGAAGCCTCACGGTGTACCTCTCAGGGGCTCTTCAGTGCACAAGTCAGGGGAGGAAGTGGTAACATGCCTATGGAGTCTGTTACAGGAGGCACATGCATGATGTGGGAACCATCACAGATCCTTGCAGCCTTGGGTAAAGCCCAACATACATCTTTCCATTTTTGATACTTCTATTAAACTAAAATGTTATTGATAAATACCTTACTTAATGAGCTGGATCAGGCCTGCTTTTGATGTTATATATCCCTGGAGAGTATCATGTATTGGTAAAGATGAGGCCCATCTAGTCATGTTGTTCTTCCTTAGAGGTCTTGACTCAGAAAGCACTTATCACTTGATTGTGCACATGTAAAAAGAATAAGTCTGTGGTGCCAATGTCACTGGAGTCCAAGTATTCCTTTGGAGAATGGGCCAAGACCATCAGTGAGATCTGCCACCCGAAATTATTTTAATGAATTATCAACCGCAGCACATTAGGTCCTTCTTCGGTGTTATTCAAAGCCAGGACACAGAGACCCTCCCCTGTAGAAATAAATTGTGTCCTGCAAAATACTGCTTACATTGAGCTCTTTGGAGTCTGGAACTGCATGTGCAGAGTCAATGCCATGTAGGATCTAATACATGACGTGTACATCATCAGTCTTGGTAAAAGGGAACAAGGATGTTTATGCAGGAGAGGTGACACATGAGAACCAGTGTCATCAAATGATACATGAATTGTATCTTAAAGTACACGTGGACATCATAACCAGAAGTGATGATGTCTTCAATGTTTCCATCCCCCATGTTCCTGTTCCCCAGTTAGACACAGAGAGCTGAAGGGGCCCTGGGATTTCCACCACTGCTGAGGGACACCTGTCACCAGTGCATCCTGCTGAGGACCATGTTCCAGGGATTCTGCGAGTCTTGGGATAGAGTACCCACCCCACCTACCACCCTCCTGTACTCTTAGCTTCAATACACACTACTAAGGATTAAAAAGAACAATAACAGTCAGTTAGATGTGATCATAAAACAGGATATGAAGTGATTGAAATGTGATGATCTTATTTAACTAAGAAAAATTCCACTGGAAGCCCAGCCAAATTCACAAGCACAATCAATTAGCATTTAGGGTAAATCAACATTGCTCCTTGGCAAAGTTGATTAGATTCGGTCTGATATTTGTCTTTGGGGATGAGGTAGTTATTCTGTTCAACTTCGCACTTACATTTTTTCTTTTTGTTGCATAATTGGAACACCTGACTTTTACTGCCAGTTACTGTGCTGAACATTGTTCCTGAACTAATTATTTATCCTCATATAAATTGTTTGTTCTCAACACTTCAAAAATTTATATGGAATTATAAACGAGCCCGAATAGCAGCTGCTCTTTTGAGAAAGAAGAACAAAGTAGGAGGGATCACAATACCTGATATCAAACTGTATTACAAAGCCACTGTAATCAAAACAGCCTGGTACTGGCATAAAAACAGGCACATAGACCAATGGAACAGAACGGAGAGCCCAGAAATCAACCCAACTCTCTACAGTCAATTAATATTTGACAAAGGGGGCAGTAACATAAAATGGAGTAAAGATAGCCTCTTTAGCAAATGGTGTTGGGAGAACTGGACAGCTACGTGCAAAAAAAAAATGAAACTTGAGCACCAACTTACACCGTACACCGAAATAAATTCAAGGTGGATAAAATACTTAAATATAAGCCGTGACACCATTAAAGTCCTAGAGGAGAACATTGGCAAGAAAATCTCAGATATTTCATGCAGCAACTTTTTTACTGATATGTCCCTTAGAGCAAGGAATGTAAAGGAAAGAATAAACAAATGGGATTTCATCAAAATAAAAAGCTTCTGCGTGGCTAAAGAAAACAGTATTAAATTAGCAAGACAACCAACTGTATGGGAAAACATATTTGCCAATGATACCTCAGACAAAGGTTTAATCTCCAAAATATACAAAGAACTTACACGACTCCACTCTAAGAAGACACCCAACCCAATTAAAAAATGGGAAAAGGACTTGAACAGACACTTCTCCAAAGAGGACATACAGAATATCCAGAGACACATGAAGAGATGCTCAATATCATTAGCTATCAGAGAGATGCAAATTAAAACCACAATGAGATACCACTTTACACCAGTCAGGATGGCTATCATAAACAAAGCAACAAACAACAAATGTTGGAGAGGTTGTGGGGAAAAGGGGACCTTAGTTCACTGTTGGTGGGATTGCAGACTGGTACAACCATTATGGAAAACAGTATGGAATTTTCTCAGAAAAATAAAAATCGACCTGCCTTTTGACCCAGCAATTCCACTGCTAGGATTATATCCCAAGAATCCTAAAACATCAATATCAAAGAACCTATGCACCACATTGTTCATAGCAGCACAATTTACAATAGCCAAGAGTTGGAAGCAACCTAGGTACCCATCAGTAAATGAATGGATCCAAAAATTGTGGTACATATACACAATGAAATTCTATGCTGCAGAGAGAAAGAAGGAGCTACTACCTTTTGCAACAACATAGATGGAACTGGAAAGCATTATGCTGAGTGAAATAGGCCAGGCATTGAAGGACAAATACCATATGATCTCACCTTTGACAGGAAGCTAAACAATAAAACAAACAAGCAAACAGAATAAAAACAAAGACACTGAAATAGAGAACAAGGGGGCAGCGACCAGAGGGAAGAGAGAAGGGAATTTAAGGGGAAAAAATGGGGAGGGATTTTGAGGAACAAGTATGAAAGACACAGGGATGAGGATTGGGGGAAGGGAATGGGAGAGAGGAGGGAGACGGCGGGGGGAGGCTGGGATGGGAGAAATAGACAAAAAATGTACTTGAAAAATAACTAAATAAAAATTTAAAAAAAGAAAATGTTCATAATGTTAGAATGAATATGCCTAAGTAGAGGATGCAAGATGCAGTAACATGAACAAAAAATAATTGTGATTTATTGCTTATCTTGTTCAATATTGCATTAAAATCTGCCACAGATGCCTCTGCAAAAAATTAAATAAATAAATAAATAAATAAATAAATAAATAAATAAATAAATAAAATTGTTTGTTCTCAACCTTCATGTACAAATGAAGAAACTGAAGCTGAGAGGGCCAGCACCTTACAGATGGATCCAGAAGTAAAAAGTTCAACAACTGAGCTTGAAACCAGGTAGGCCCTAAAATTGGGTTCTTCTTCACAACTCAGTAAGGGAATATATTCTAAATTTGAAAGATCCAAACAGCCCTGCAGAATTGAAAACAATGTGTAAAACATCCTGAGTAAGATTCTCAGGTGGGCGGGATTGAAACTCTACAGTAATTTGGGAATAGTTGACTTTACACTTCCTAATATTTCTTCAGGAACAAGGTGTGTGTGCCTAGGTGTTGTCAGATTCCTTGTTACATCTGTGAGGAAATTTTCACAACTTTATCTTTCAAGCTTTGCCTGTTTGAACTGTGTGAACTTCAGTGTATTCTAGTTGCTGCTGGAGTTCCTGTTGCCAGTGGTGCCCTTATCTCCAATGTGTCACAGGGTGAGACAGGTTTATGGGAAGAGAAGGTGGTTAACAGGCTGCCCTAAATTCAGCTACATCATAAACTTTCATCTGTTCTCAGTTTTTCTTAGCAGGTTATTGCAGATTTCTCTGAGAGGTGATCCACCACCTACATACCATGACCAATTCATTGGTTCTTTTTTTGTTTGGTTTTTCTTCTTGTTTGAAGAAAATTACACCAGCAGGATGTTGGCCTTAGTTCTTTAGCAGTCTTTAGTTCCAGGACAGTCTTAGATTCACAGAAGATGGAGCAGAAAGTACACAGTGCTCCCATCTACTCTTCTTTCCAGACAGGAACAGCCTTCCCACAATCAGCATTACACTCCTGGGGGCTTGGGACAGGAGGAGGATGGGCCCTGTGGGTGCTGCTTTTGGGACCCTGAGGACCCAGCAGGTGCCAACCTCCTAACTGACAAGGAAACTGTCAGGACAGTTTCCCACTTGATTTGATGGAACCCTGACTTGACCATGTTTGAAACGTTAGATGAGAGTGGGAGGGTGGGAGATGGGAGGTAGTCTTCCTCTTGGCATGGTGATCTCTCAAGACCTAAACAACTGATATCTTCACAAACGCCCACACCACTGACCTTTCTGCCTCAACTTGCCAAAGTGACCCTTGTCCAGCGAGCATCCCTTTGCATGAAAGATTCACCCAAAGCAAACATTTCAGGAATGTGTGTGGATCCCCTTCTCTTTCCCAGGCACTAGGCTGAGAAACATGAGCAAAACCTGTCACAATCTGCAATTAAGGAGTTAAATTCTCATGAGGCTCCCAACGATCAACTGATTGTACATTTCCAAAACTCCAGTTAAGAAACTGAAACATGGGGGGCACCTGTCAGTAAACTGATTGCAGTTTTGTATAACTCCAGCCTTGGATTGCCATGAAAAGAATATGCATGGTGCCACCAATGGCTATTCGATCAAGTCACCAGGGCTGTGACCATGGAAGTTGGAACTCAGGCACAGTGAGGAAAAGAGAGCTGGGAGTCAGGCCTTGTGACCTGCCATGGTCCAAGTGGGCAGGACCTGTGAGGCTCACTGGGTACAAATAGCCCTGGGCTTCCCAGGCTGCTGAGTCCAGCTGCTAACTGCTCATTGTTTGCTAAAGCTGAACTCAAAGCAACATCAACCATGAGACTGTCCCTGTGTGTCTTGCTGGTCACTCTGGCCCTTTGCTGCTATGAGGGTGAGTATCACTCCTAATCAGACTACCACCTGCCCAGGTACATAACCTTCTCTGAAGTAGGTAACTTATTTGAGGAAGGGGATTGAACAGATCAGAATTCAAATGGGTCCTGCTACTTGGAGACTAACCACCTGAATGTCAAGGGCTTCTTTATTAATTCTCAACACCCTGAACCTTTACAGAAAATCCTTTCAGGCCACTTTGAAGAGCTTCCCACCTTGATCCTCACTACTTGTTGAGGGTCTATATTCAGTAGCAGCAGGATGAGATAAGATTTTGATATGCATCATGGTTCTGCAATTCAGCAACGCTATGACTTGAACAAAATGCTCAACCTCCCAAGTTTTCTCTCATCTTTGGCTTCCACAGCCACGAGCAAGAGTAGCTCTGACTACTGAGTGAGACAAAGGGTGTCAGGAGCTACCTCTAGGTCTCAATAGCTATTCTCCTTCCCAAAGTCTATGGTGCCACTAGAGTCCACGGCTCTCTAACTGTCTTTCAGACTCTCAGAATGCTCCAGCTGGGAGAGTTTTATGAGAGTTCTCAGTTCAAGAAGAGCCAGTGTGAGCTGGATCTCTCAGGAATCAGTCAGGAGCAGCAGCACTCAACACATGCACACACTCTGCTCCTTTTTTGGGAGTCTGCCCAGGATTGAAAAAACCAATGCAATCTCAGGGCCCCACTGGCTGTGTTTCTAGGTGACTTCTAGCCACTCATCCAACATTACTTTGTTGTAGGATGACCCTCACCTCTGACCCAAGTGCTTCTGACTTTTTCTCTTTCATCTGACTTTCTGAACTCCTCTTTCCCTGTGTTGCCTCTGATCTGACCCCTCCCCGGCTCTGAATAGTTGCTGTGTCATCAAGTCACATGGGAGCCTGGCAGGGCACATGCCCTGATGCAGGGGCAGGTGGTTGTAAAGACTTGAGGGAAGAACAGGGAGTGTTGATGGAGAATCCAGGCCAGGAAGAGTGGTGACTTCAGGTCTCAGCACAATCCCAGTGGAGCCAAAATCAGGAGGCCACCTCCAACTGTCTCAACAGAATTCTGTATTCAGTGCAGACCAGAAGAGCTAGCCATGGTTCATGTGTAAGGCTCAGATTCTTTTCTAAACCTCTTAGCTGTTTTCACCCACTGACGTAATTCTACTGTTTAACTTACTCTCAGAAGAGCATCTTCCAACACTCCATCGTTGTCCCTGCTCCTCTCCAGACTTAGTCCCTCTTCTCTGATCTCTGTGAGATCGTCCTCTCCCACTCTGCTGGAAAGACTGGCCGGTAAGAGATCCTCTTCCCTGATGTCCAAGACCAAAAAAAGAAAAGTGTGCCTCTAATGACAGGCCAAACCTTAGTTTCTGAAATCTAGGGAATGTGAGTTTCAGCAAAGCAGGAGAGTCTTGGAAAGGCATGCATGTAATTTACACAGGAGAACAGCTAAGCTGGGTCTCAGTGAAAGTTTTTTTTTTTCCAGAACTAGCCCTGCCGCTTGCTCTGTGATTTCAGCAAGCCACGACTTTTAGGATTTTCCATTGTAATTGGTATATTTATGGAACAGGACCATAAAACCCCTGGTGTTCATGTCTAAGGTCAGGGGGGCCATGGGGGAAAACTGACTTTATTACATCAATTGTATTTCTTCTTATTCTGTTCCAGCAAATGCAAAAGTCTGTCCATCTTTTATGTCTGAATTTAAAAGCTTCCTTTTGGATACCGAAGAGATATACAATATTCACATTCTGAAGTTTACTCCACCTAGAGAAGCTGCCGAGGCTGCGATAAAAGTGAAGCAATGCACAGATCGTTTGCCCATACAGGACAGAAAGAAAGTGTTCAGTCTTGTGGTAAGTTGTTTCTCCTTCCTCTGTAGGGGCTTCTGCTCAGCTTCATGGCCAGGAGGGAGGCCAGGGTGCTGCACTGTGGGCACAGGGCGGGGAGGCACCTGCCCCTCTTCTCACCTCTGGCAGAGTGGCCCATGGCCACAGAGTGGATGATGACATGACACCTGCTGAGCTACACTAAGGCTGCACAGTACATGCAGCATATTCCTCCTTCTCAGGTCACCTCTGGGCACATGTACCAACAGTGTCCTGGGGAGGACAACCAGGCCCCAGGTGGTGATGCTGAAGGGCAGAGACAGCTGCCTCCTGCCTGGGAGGTTTTAGAGGTCACAGGGCCAGTTCCCTCACCCTGTGGCATTGTGGAGATTCCCATGGAGAGGGGGTATGCAGGAGAAGAGACAGCAAGAGGGAGGGCGATGGCCCAGGCTGTAGGTCAGGATGGAGGGGTGGATGGCTGGGGAATCCACCAGCTCTCACAGAGTGAGACCCTCCCTGTCCCTCTGTCCCATTTTCCCAGCCCTTACCAATCAAGGCCAATGGGCAGATACCCTCCCTGTTATGTCCTCTGCAGCCTCTCTTGAAGCTGAAATACTTCCGTTATGTGTTTGCGAGGATAGTGGTTGGGCGGGAGATCTGCCCGCAGAGCTCCCTCATGCCCTGTGGATAAGAATAATTCTACCAAGATATGATCTGCATGGGGAGGAAGCCTGACCAGTCTCTCAGAGGAGAAAGGTTTTTTAGCCTCCTCCCAATGGGCTTTTATTGAGTTTAGCTTGCATAGGGGTGCATAAGAAGAAAGAAGGTGTGGTGTACAGATAACGTTTCTGAGATCAGGGGTCCTTCTGAGTCAGGGTCTGGTGGACACTGTGATGCCAGTCGGCTATAAAACCCTGGGAAACAAACTTATTTTGTGCTTGGACCATTAACATTTAAATTCAGGGCATTCTTAGCAAAGCAGGTTTCACGGGACTTCATGCATTCTTTCTGAGACCTGATGGTCCCCCTCCAGGAACCGCCAGTTCCCACACAGGGCTGTGCCCCCCCCCCCGGCATTGTTTCAGGCTGGGATCAGGTGGGGGCAGCAAGGCAGCCAAGAAGTTAGGAGATGTTTTACAGATACGGTGAGAACTCAGGCTATGATAAAGCTGAGTGGTAAGGGGTTTTGTCCCTTCTCCACCGTCCCCTAGTCCTTCACTGATGGACCCTTCATGAATATGCCTGTTTTAGGATGTTCCTTTCTTGAGGAATCTTATCCACCATTGGCTATCAAAACATGGAGTCTGAGGAAGGAAATCCTGGGCTGCTCAGTCCAATCCTTGACCCTCTCCCAGCCCCATTAGAAACCAGAGTCCCAAGCTTGAGTCACTTGGGGGTTTATTTGTCAGCCTATGGACATGTTCCTCCCTGTCCTGCACAGTTTTGGTGTGGCTGCACAAGGACTATTGAGTTCCCCGCCCACTCAGCTCTCCTGACTGGTGGGACCATGTGCCTTTGCTGGAGATGTCCCAGCACATGTTTGTGTGAACAGAAGCCCCTGTGAATGTGTCATCTCCAAGGGCAGCATGATTGACACCCCCTGTCTCTCTTTCTCTATTTCAGAGACAGGTGAAGTCCAAGTGTAACAACTAGACTTTAAAAATCTTACACACCAATGCCTTATCATTTAAGAATGGCCTGATCACCCCCAGAAAATCTTAAGGTTTCAACATCTTGCTTCAATAAAGTACTTGCTCTGCACTTCTCTACCTGTCTTGCTTTTGCCCAATAGTCTGTCCCTGGAGTTGTGGTGGTTCTAATCATGAAGTGGCCATTGGGTGGTGTCCATAGTAAATTTTCAGTAACACAACATCCAGTGACCATAGTGGCCTGTCGGAGGGATCCCAGTGAGACTACTGGCTCAAGAGCCATCTCCCATCCCTGCACAGACCCCCAGTCATGGGACCAGGAGAGAAAAGAGAGGTGAGGGATCAAAAGCTTCCTAAGGGTCTTGCCCCTGGGCTTTGCTGAGGGAAACACCACCTCCCTGAGGAGTCACACAGTTCCTAACCTTCAGCCCCACTGCCACTCCACCCCCATCAGAAGCACAAACAGCCTGCCTGGTTCTCACCCCTCCCTGGGTTTCCATGCTGGGGAATTTCCATGCAGGGTAATTTGTTTTCTGTCCACTTCTCACTTTGTAGTGAATCTCAGGACTCAGCCTTCAGGGAACTCTTTGCTGTCTGGACACTCACATTGCTCACCACCCTTGGTGACTTTTCCCTGCCCCCAATTCCTCCTAAAGGCCCAGAAACAAGCACTCCAATGCCATCCTAGCAACCACATGCACACAGTCCACACTTACTGCAGGAGGAACAGTCCAATGCACAGGATCTGGGCCCAGCCAACCCCTCACCCAGGAACCCCATCCAGGCTGATGGGCCCACCCTCCAGTGAGGCAAAAGGAATCTAAGACAATCCATTAGGTTACAAACTTTCCACCTTCTCAGTTCACCAGCCATCTGAATAAAACTCCCATAAAAATTCAATCCCTGCCTCTGTTATTGGTTCTGTAGGTGACAGACAGAATGAATTCCCGATTTTTTGGGTTCCACTATATAAGAGACAGGAACATGAAAGAAAAGAAAAGTATGTCTAGCTAAAAAATTCAGGAATGAGACAGACCTCCTCACAATCATGTTGGGAAGAAAGTCACCAAATAAATACACTAAGAAAATTTCCCCACAGTAAAAAATAAGAAATGGAGTAGCTCACCCACTTTCCACACATTTTTGCGACTTTTTGGAACATCAGCTCAAACAAAAGTGATTCTTTCAATAATAAAGGTCACTGAACAGTACCAGGGGCTCTGCTGCATACTACCACCCTTTAGGTAGAAATCCAAAGGCAGAGGTTTGGTGAAAACAGAAAGAAGTCATTTATTCAAAAGCTGCACAATTTTGAAAGAATGGCAGGCTTCCACCTCAGAGCCTATTCCCTCTAGAGCACCCAGAAAAACTCTAACACCCTCTGCCAGACAAACACAAGGTGTACCCCAAGTGCCTTCTCCCTTCTAAAAATACCATACTTTAGGAAACTGCAGGTGGCACTACATAATCATCCAGGCCACTTGGCTCCTTTGCCATTTACTGTTGGGCCTGAGGCTTTTCCTGGAGTCTGGTGGTAGCCAGTGTCCTGCATTCAGCACAGTGCCCTATCTTCCACTTGCTGCCCTGCAGCCCAACACCTGTGCCCCATCCCTCTGGCTGTCAGCTTACTGGTGCATTGCTGCAACCAGCAGAGTAGAACAGTGCAGTGCCAATCCAGTTTCTCTGCCCCTTCCTGCACTGGGGACAAGGGCTGGTCCTGTTCCCTGGCCATGTGGCTTGCAATGCCCACTGGTCTGCAGGCACTCCGGACTCCCAACATAGCAAGCAAGGGGGGGAAACCCAGTATTTCCCCCTACCCTCTGTTTTACATCTCAGGGCCCAAAATTTTGTGCACTCCAGAAGGGTTCTGCCTCCACAGCCAATCCCATCCTTTTCCCAAGCAAGTCTGGCAAGTCATCACCTGCCTCTGCCACCATTTTTTTGAAAAGAGTAGGAGGGCTTTTCCCTCCATCAATCACCATGGCCAGCTTGCACAGACTCCAAGCAGGGCCTCCTTCTCTCTGAGTCTCAGCCTGTGGGCAGGGAAATCTGTCACACGCCACACTAGCAGCTTCACCCTTTTTACCTACAGTGTCTCCTGCAAACCATCCCTCAATCAGCCACTCCTGGTCCCTCGTCTAGCCAGGTCTCTTCCAGATCCATCTCTATCAGAAACACTAAGTCACATGCAGTTTGACAACAAAAATTCAACCAACACAAGACTGAAAAACACAAAGCAATACTGAAAATTCCAAGGCTCTGACCTATACTTGTATACAACTAGAATTCTTACACAGTCAGCTAGCCTTTAAGCATGAAAATAAGTATGCTTCAGAATTGCAAATCTTCAAAAGTTTTATCTTCAGTGATCTCAGAAGACAGGAGAGAATATGCTGTATAAAAAGGCCTAGATGAAGAATGATGAGGCATACAATCCAGTCAACACAGGACAGAACATAAGTGTTTATAATGCATCCACAGAGAGGAGTATACAATATTCCCACACTCAACACCAGGAGACACAGTGAAAGAAGCTGCAGGTGAGGCAGGCACAGCACATGTGGACTAGATTGGCGAGGCATGTAGTGCTTCTCATCAGAAGTTCTTTCTCAATATTTCCTTTTGGGAACAATGCTCCTATATCATTATCTTTAAAACAAAAATGTTGGAACTGACAGGAAGTTTACGACAGAAATGGAAGGAGAGACAGGATTGAAATTCGTGGAGATAAAATTGGGCAAAAATCAGGTCGAGGTGATGCAGATCATCTCAGGTCAACCTGGAATCTACACTGCACTGTGCTTGCTGTATTTTGTTAAAAGAACATCAGAAAAGAAGACCTTTATTATTGTTATTATTATTGTTGTTATTATTGTTTCTTCTTCTTCTTCGTTGTCATCTTTGTCTTATTTTTCTTCTCCTGAATGCCTGAAGCATTATAATGATAAGGAATATGGTAGAAAAGAATACCATTTAACTGGCTAAATAAAGAATACCGTTTAACTGGCTAAATAACTCGTGTATTTGTCTGTATGTGTATCGACTCAATGCCCTGCATTGAGTAAGTGCTTGTAATGGCTTGCCATGTGTGTTTTACTAAATCTGGAAGTAAGTAGCACAGGGAGATGCTACATTCTGAGAAGATTAATGGGCCACCAGGAGGTAGAATATGTTCAAAATCAATCTGTGAATGATGCCTCAATAAAACTCTTTTTTTTGTATTTTTTATTGATTATGCCATTACATTTGTTCTATTTCCCCCCTCCATTCCCCTCAACCCTGCACACCCCTCCCCCACCACTCCCCCCTTTTAGTTCATGAACACGTGTCTAAAGTTCTTTAGATTCTGTATTTCTCCTACTATTCTTACCCTCCCCCTATCTATTTTCTATCTACTATTTATGCTACTTATTTTCTGTACCTTCCCCCCCTTCTCCTTCTCCCATTCCCCCATTGCTAATCCTCCACATGATCTTCATTTCTATGGTTCACTCCTGATCTAGCTGTCCTCTTAATTTGCTTTTGTTTTAGGTGTGGTTGTTGATAACTATGAGTTTGCTGTCCTTTCACTGTTCCTATTTTTTATCTTCTTTTTCTTTCTTAGGTAAGTCCCTTTAACATTTCACATAATAAGGGCTTGATGATGATGAACTCCTTGAATTTGGTCTTATCTGAGAAGCACTTTATCTGTCCCTCCACTCTAAATGAAAGCTTTGCTGGATAGAGCAATCTTGGTTGTAGGTCTTTGGATTTCATGACTTGGAATACCTCTTTCCAGCCCCTTCTTGCCTGTAAGGTCTCTTCTGAGAAATCAGCTGACAGTCTGATGGGAACTCCTTTGTAGGTGACTGTCCCCTTAGCTCTTGCTGCTTCTAGGATTCTCTCCTTCATTTGAATCTTGGCTCATATAATGATGATGTGCCTTTGTGTGTTCCTTCTTGGGTCCAACTTCTTTGGGACTCTCTGAGCTTCCTGGATTCCTGGAAGTCTATTTCCTTTGCCAGAATGGGAAAGTTCTCTTTTATTATTTGTTCAAATAAGGTTTTCACTTGTTGCTGTTCCTCTTCCCCTTCTGGTACCCCTATAGTTTGAATGTTGGAGCGTTTAAAGATGTCCTGGAGGTTTCTAAGCCTCTCCTCATTTTTTTGAATTCTTGTTTCTTCATTCTTTTCTATTTGGTCATTTTTTCCTTCCTTCTGGTCCACTCCCTTGATTTGAGTCCATTTCCATTCCATCACTATTGGTTTCCTGTGCATTACCATTCATTTCAATTAGTTTAGTCTTCCTTTGTTCCTCTAATTTGTGGCTAAAATCAACCAGTTCTGTGAGGATCCTGATCACCAGTGTTTTGAACTGTGCATCTGAAAGTTTGGCTATTTCTTCATCTCTTAGATTTATCGGCTGTGGGGCTCTGAGTTGTTCTTGAGTCATGTTTTTATCTGTTTGTGCCTGTTACATATGAGGAGCTGAGCCTTAGTTGTTTACCAGGGTGGGGCCACCCAGGTCGCTGGTTTGTGACCCTGTATGTGGGAGCGGGGTCAGAGAGGGAGCACTGGCAGTCCTCTCCACTCACCCAGTCCATCCCACCACTCGCCCCCACCTGTTTATCTGAGGGAAATGTGCAAGCCCATTGCCCTGCGCTGAGCGGTCTCAATGCTCGCCTCTTCACTGGTTTATCTGCACACAAATGCTCCACCAACTGCAGACAGCCAGCCGAGCCTCTTCCCTGTGTCTGGCCCGCAGCTAGCCCACACCTGGCATTCGCGCTTTCGGCTGCCTGCGCACCACCCCTGTCAGGGAGCTTTTTGGCCAACCCACTCCGCTGCTGGCTTCACTCCTCTTACTGGTTTAGCTGAGCATTTTGTTGTTTTCAGACTCCGTATTGTCGATTTTCTGTGTGGTTTGGTTGTGTTTATTGTTTTTAAAACTTTGTTGTTTTTAGATTTGGTTGTGCGAGGACACAGGGTGTTTCCACCTACGCCTCCATCTTGGCGGAAGTCTCTC